AATAAGATAGGAAGCGACTATATATTCTACTCCTTCTTTCTACGGTCTTTAGCTACTTCCATAATAGATCCTAAACCTTGTCCCCCGGACAATTTTTAAGTACGAAATCGAGAAAAGAGTTAATAAAATAGCTATTAGAAAGACGATATCTAGTAACTTAAGTAAGATAAGACTTAATAAGGAGTAGAAGATTTAGAAATAAGAAATATCTACTAGATTAAAGCTATCGAGACTAATAAGTCCTTTAAGAAGATAGAGTAAGGTAAGAGAACCTTCGCTCGCGTAGACGTTTAATATAGTAGAATTAATAACTTTATTATCGATAATAGTCGTTAAAACTTCGTTAAGTTTAGAAAGAAAGTTACTAAGTATAAGCGGTTTTATAGTACTAATACTATAGACTAGTATACTATTTATAAGAATTCCTTTCTTTAATAGTTATAATATTATAAAGTTTCTTCGTTTTTTTAATAATTTTTATAATAATTATAGAGTATCTATAGAAAGCCGAGTTAATTGAGTCCTTCGCTACTACGATTTAAGAATCTTAATATACTTAAGATCGATAGAAGAGTATAATAATAAGGACTAGGGGAAGTTAAAAGATTTTATATATAAAGAATAGGAAGATAGCGATAATAAGTAGAAAATAAAGACGCTTATATTTCTTTAGGGACTCTCTAAGCGCGAGAAAAATAATAAATATAATATTAAAGAATATTACTACTAGTTTAGGCTATCGATAAATATATTAATTATAAAGAATTAGCTTACTTAGTACTAAGCTAGAATAATATTCCTTTAAGGACTACTAGACTAGATATAAAAGAAGATTATAATTAGTAAGAAGATTAATATTAAAGACGCGAAATTACTATAATTTAAGGAAATTTATAAGTATACTATAGAGATTTAGAAATCGTAGGAAGGCCTAGAGGCTCTAAAAAAGGTTCTAGAATAAGAGGAAGTTAAAGATCTTATAGAAAATATTAAATAGAAATCGCCTATTTAGTTCGAGAAGAAAACGATCTATAAATAGTTTATAAAGAGATTAAAGTCTACGAGCCTTACGAGAGAAGAAAACTTAATAACCTTCTAGCGTACGGATTCTATTCTAAGAAAGTACCGCGATAGACTTCTTTAGAATAACTATAAGGATAAACTAGTTAAGGAATTTAAATTAAAGCTAGTTATATCGCTTACTACTTAACTTAACGCTCTCTTAACCTAATTAGACGACCTTAAGAAGGAAACTTAATAGTAGAAGGCTTA